TATTATTTTATATTATTTTAATATATTGAAATTAAAAATATTTTTAAAAAACATTATTTTAATATATTTTATATTATTGAAATTAAAAATATTTTAAAAAAACATTATTTTAATATATTTTAAAATAAAAATACTTTAAATTATCATTATTATTATTATAATTTCAAAAAAACCCTTAGCATAGTGTAGTCAGCCTTTCAGCCAATCAAAAGCTTGCAAGGTATCATTTTCAATGAAATGGAAACCCACCAATGTCACTCTATTTATATTGATATTTTATTTCTTGTGTTGAGGACCTTCACATTTTGTCTTAAAAGGAAAATTCAATTTTATCATTTCCTTGAAAGCTACGTGACACTCACTTGAAAACTATTTGTAGAAACCAATAAAATATGAGGGGTTTTTACTCTATCATTCCAAAACCACTTATTTACACAAAACAAAAGCCAAGAAATAAGAGGTATTATGGGTTTTTTTGTTTTTTAATAGAGATACGCATGTCTTTTTCAAATTCACAGGGGCATGGATGTTTTTTTGTCTTTCTATAGAACAACGAAATTTCCAAAGTAATCTTACAGGGAAAAAAAAAAAGTTTTATATTCAAGGGTTTCATGGTAATTTTCTTTTTTCACAATAAAATAACAAAAATATCCTCACAATAAAAAAAATAACATTGTCTTGCAAGGATATTTTAATCTTTCTATCATGGTTTTTTTTTGTTATATTTAGCAGCAATAATAAGAGGCATTTCTGTGTGTGTATGTGTCTTTCTATATATATATATATATATAAAAATTGTTGGCATGTATTAAAGGGTTAATATTATTTATATGTTTTAGATAGTATATACAATGGTGTTTATTATTGGAGTATTGCATTCCGTAACGGTATTAAAAACATTATGAAGTCCTCTTTCAATGTGTATGGCATGTGTAAGCAATGGATAGTCAGTTCTTCATTGATGATTATTTATATTTTTTATTTTCTCTTTCCTCCCCAAAAAATATACCTTGGTCCCTTTTTTTATATATTTAAATTTCAATCTTTATTTTTTTATTTTTACTTCTTTCATAAATTTTTTATGGAATTTTTTATTGTTTTAAATTTAATCATTTATTTATTTTCTCATATATTATTTCTTTCAATTTGATCATTATTATTTTGGTTTTTAATTTTTTATCTTTATCTTTTTTGTTAAAATTTTATTAGCTTTCAATTTTATCTTTTAACCAAAGTTTATAGTATATATATATATATATATATATTGTTAAAGTTATTATTCTTTTTAATTTAACCCTCTAATAAAAGTTTTTTGACTGCCTTTTAGTTTATTGTTTGTTTTTATTTTCAATCTTATTTTTTTAATTGTGATTTTTATTTTAGATCTTTTTATTTAATTGATTTTTTTTCCTGATTTAATACTTTATTCTTTGATTTGATGGGAATTGAACTTTATGATTTTTCTATTCATAATACTTTTGATCTAATAACCAAGGTCACAAGTTTGAAAAGTTAATATAGGTTAATATTTTTTATTTAATCATTTGACATTAGTTTTTTTTTATAAAAATGAGCCATAACCCGAGTAATTTTCCTTTCATATTTTTTTTCCACTTTCATTTTTTCATTGATGCCTTTTTTAATCTCTTTTCTTTTTAAAATAAAATTTTAATTTATTTTTCAATTAAATTTCATTCTTTATGATTTTTTATTTTCTTATTTAAACTTTTTAATAGATATTTTTTCTTAGTTATTTTTTTGTTTAATTTTTGAACATATTAACCCCAGTTATTTTTTTCATAATTTTTTTTCACTTTTGATATTTTTTTATTGATGCCTTTTTTCAATTTATTTTCTTTTAAAAATAAAATTTTAATTCATGTTTCGATTAAATTTCATTTTCTATGATTTTTTATTATGCTTATTTGAACTTTTTTAATGGATTTTTTTTTATTTTGTATGTGTTTAATTTTTTAAAATATTATTCTGATTCATCTATAAATAATTTTTTATTTTTTGTTTAGATCCAATTTATTTTTAAAAAATAAAAAATATTATTGTTTATGATATTTCTAATGCGTGCAATTTTGCATTATAATTTTTTCATCTTTTATTTTATCTAATCAATTTATTATATATGTATGTTTCAATTATTATTTGATTGAATATAAGTTTTATTTTTATAAAAATAATTTGATAAATATAATCGAGTAAATATTTTATATTATGAAATCAAATATCTTGATCTATATTTGTCTCTTTATTTTTTTAATTTTTTAGTTACCATTAATGATTTTTTTTTCATTTATTTACATTACTAGCTCTTGATTTATATAATCATGTGCTTGCATGGGATTTTTTATTTACATTTATAAATTTTTTTATATTAAAAAACATGTTGGTAAAACCTATATATCCAATGTTTTTATTGAAAAAAAATAAAAAGATATATATAACCTAAGTGAGTAACTAGTGATATATTATTTGGAATAGCTTACAAAAATGGGAAATAAATTACTTGCTATGCTTTTATTTTTTTTTTCAATATTTAAGAGTAATTTAAGATTTTTTTGTAGATCACTCAAGACTAAGTTTTTATTTAAAAAAAATCAAAAATGCGATTTCATGTTGACTTAGTGTATTTAACAAAAAAAAAAGTAAATTCTTTTAGATATTAGCTTTAAGATAAGAAGAAAAAAAAATAGAATTACAAACAACATTGTTAAAATATCCTAATCATGAAAGACATCTAATATTTATTTTGCAATACGGTGAGATAAATGATTGATGTTGTACTGGAATTGAAATGCATATGCCTATAAAGTAATCCAATTTTTCATTTTATAACATGAAAGAAAATTCTATATATTGACATATACAGTGATCATATAATCATAACATACATAAGAACATGTTTTCGATTTTTACCCAGCTAAACTTAAAAACATATAACTTAAAAGACAAGGATAACATAGATTATGAGACCTATAATGTAGGATGTACTAAAATAGTAAGAATCGAGAGTTTGTTATGCTTTCCAGGAATAAAAGATGTTAGATCTATAGTTCCTAAAACAAAATAGAACATATAAATTTAGAAAAAAAGGAAATGATTTTTGCTAATATTGAAAATTTAAATTACATGAAGTTTTTTAAATATCCTATCAAAAAAATTACCTTGAACATCATCATCAATGTCAGCTTGTATTCAACCATTTATGGGTTATGAAGAAGCATCATCAACATGAAAAGAATAGAAGACAACAAGAGATCTAGTATATGGTTTGAGTGTAGGATGGAGATTTGGGTTGGAGAAAGGTAATTTAATCTAAATGATTGCAATGCAGAAATTATAGGTCCTATAAGTTAAAAAGTGTGGTTCATGGTTAGCCAATCAACTTCAATTTTATGGTTTCAAATGAACATAAAAATTACCATGTAAACAAACACTAGAGGATGTTTGGGAGTGTAGCAACAGTTACTTTTCAAAGTACTTTTCATTCCAAAACATATTAAAATAATATTTTTTTATTTTTAAAAATTAGTTTGACATCAACACATCCAAATGATATGAAAACATAAAAAATATATTAATTTAAAGCAAAAAAATAAAAAAATTCAAAATTTTTCAAAAACACTTTCTAATCACAAGGTCAAACACTACCTAGGAGTGTGGTTGCAATTGCTTTTCAAAATGTTTTTCATGCTGAAACGCATCAAAATGATATTTTTTTTATTTTTTAAAAATTATTTTTGAAATCAGGGCATCAAAACAATCTAAAAGAAACAAAAAAATTTAACAAAAAAATTAATTTTTTAGAAATGCAAATTACCTGTGTTTTCCAAACGTCGTGCATATGGAAATATTTATCTTAAAAGTTAAAGGAATTTGCATCAATAATCTTTCTTTTTATTAAAGTGTGGATTTAATCAAGCCTGGACTAGTTTGAAAATTCCAAAGCCATCGGAGTAACATGTTGGTCCTTGTGGCCTTAATTAAACTAAAAGGGAAAATTTTATGTCCCTAGTTATTTGCTTTTGAGTGAGGGAATAACAGAGGGGTATATGGTGCATTATCTAGATTAGTATTGGATCACAGAATTAGTTTTTAGTCATTTTTTCTATTTGGTATTATGATGTATTGTATTTATTAAAAGATTTTTTAATTTAAAAATATAATAAAAATATATTTTTTAAAAATGCAAGAAGAAGAAGAAGATTAGAGTCAGTCTGAGTTAACCTGCTAACCCCACCATCATGGATATAAGATTGAGATAACTCTATAAAAAGAAAAGTAAAAAAAAAAAATACGAGAACTAATTCCCAATAAATCAAATAATGAAGAATAAAATTAATTTTTTTTTTAAAAAAAGACCTAGAAAGACCAAAATTAACTCTTATTATCTTTCAAAGCTCATGATCTTAGTCATAAGTTTGGGATTAATATCGTAAAAGACAAATTTTAAAAAAATAAAGCAAAATTCTTAATTAACAAAATGCTTAAAGATAAAATTAAAAAAAAAATACAATTAAAAATATATTTTTTAAAAAAGGCAAATAGCAATAAAAAGAATGGAGATTAAATTTAACTTAAAAATAAATAAAAATCAAATACTGAGAAATAAAATTAAAAATAAAATTCAATTAAAAAAAGACTAAAAATAAATAATAATTAAAAGAATAAGGATCATATTTAATATACAAATTAAATAAAATTAAATAATGAGTGACAAAATTAAAGAAAAATAAAATAAAAAAAGATAAAAATAAATAAAACAAATAATAATTTAAAAAATAAGGATCAAATTAAATAAAAAAACAAATTATCAAAACCTTTATATCTTGGTAAAGAGTAAAAAGAAAAAAAAAGAAAAAAGAAAAAAAAAAGGTTCAATAGAGCCTCCCTGCTACTTTGCCATATATATTTGCTTAACCATCGTGAAGATCATAGCAGGGCACTTCCTATACTACTGTAAAACATTGGTGTTTAAACATTGGATGATGCTACACATACTGCCCGAAGAGTGTATGTGTTACCCACGCGCTGACGTGTAAGTTACTTTTTTTTTATCTAATACTATTTATTTTAATTAAATTATGAAATCACCCCTAGCTGAACTTAATTATAACAAATAAATTAAACTGAAAAAATAAGAACATCCCTAAGACCTATCTTTATATTTTTCTTATTTAAGTGTAATTAAATCATTTAATTGTTCTAAAAAACAAAAGGATTAAAAAGTCCCTAAACCCTAGTTAATATTTTTTGATTTTAAAAGTATTTAAGTTATTTTTTTGTACTAAAAAATAAAATAAAAAATTATTTATTTGAATCAATTTGATAATGACCAATAAATTATGTGAAAAATACCTTATTATCCTCACTAACGAGGCCATTGATTTTTGTAGAGAAAGACAAAATTAAACTATCATTACACTATCCTTTAAATTTTTTTAATTCAGATTTGAATCACTAAATGTTTAAACCTGACCTAAATATATTACGTTACGAGTTCAGTTATTTTCCGGACAAAAGAAAAAACTCAATTATTATTTTAAATTAAAGGAAAAAAATATCCTAACTATTATGTAGTTTACTTAATTTTACACCTTGTATTTATTATTTTAAGAATTACAAAATTTTATAAATTCATAAGTTTTTACGTGATATAAAAAGAATCCAAGTATTTACAAATTTGATATTATATTTCAATGTCTGAAGAACCCTGGTACATCGAGTCAAGGAAGAAGCCATTATAAAAAATTCAAGCACTCGCGCATCATTAAGAACAATCAACATTAGGGCTCCAATTATGCATTCGGATTGCAAGTTCCGTTCTGTTCCCTTTCCATTATTCCTTGCAAGACCCCTCCCTTTGGTTATCTGTTGGCCATAAGATTCTGGCTTTTCCACCACGCCCGTAACAAGAAGAGCAAGAACCTCAGGAACAAAAACCTCATATCGAACCACAAAACAAGCAGGAAGTAAGCCTTCAGGTTCAAACAAAAAGAAGAGATTTTGAATTGTGGGTTTTTCACTTCATGATCTCGAGTTTTACCTGTATTTTTGTCTCGGGTCATTTCGGATGTCATGCTCAAAACCACGAGTAGCAGGGCCGAGTCCTCTTCTTTCCATATCACTGCTTCCAGAGGCTTCAATGCTATTGAATTCGCCAACATTTGGATAACTGATAGGTTATAATACAGACTGTGAGGGTTCAATAACTGCAATTGAGGATGCTTTGAGAGGTACTGACATTACTTCCTCAGTTCTGTATGACAGTATCTTTAGAAGGTTGTATACGTTTTTAAAGTGACTGTAAATACTTAGTTATAGCTTATCAGATCTGGTTAGTGATGTTTGTGCTTTGGTCATGTGAATATCACAGATCACGAAATGCGTCAATGGCAGATCCTTAAATTCTCCGTTGGCTGGGAAACAGTTTGTGGTAGTTGGTGCTGGCGGTGCTGGAAGAGCAATTGCAGTTGGAGCTAAGAGTAGAGGAGCCCGTGTAATTATTTTCGACATCGATCTCGGTTGATCCACTGTCATTTTCTTTTTTTTCCTTGAAGTAGTATGCTGATTAGTTCCTTATGAACTGGTAACATAAGAAATTCAAGAGCATCTAAAACGTTCTTCATCTCCTTCTCATGTTTTTCCAAAAAGAGAGAGCAAAGAGTCTCGCTCGAGCTGTTTCTGGTGAAGCTCAACATTTTGAAAGTCTAGCACATTTCCAGCCTGAGAATGGGGCAATCCTTGCAAATGCAACACCGATAGGAATGCATCCGAGTACAGATCGAATTCCCGCGGCGGAGGTTCTCTCCGCTTCATATTCTCTCCACTTCATAACAAGCTAGAACTTATCTGCAGACATAGCCCTGGTAAACACATCTACAGGCTGATCACTGGAGTTGATGAGATCCAGATTTATCTCTTTCTTATTTACATTTCACGAATAAATTGATGACGCAATTCAATGTGTTTTGATCTTGCATGGAAGACAGGATTATTAGTCATAGCTATAACTGATATATTATCACATAGAATGATAGTAGGATAGGAAGCTTTCTTTTGCAAATGTATTTAGCCTCAGCGGATAATAATGAAACAGAACTTTGCTTCCTTGAACTCCATGAAATCACATTTGATCCTATACAAAATACATATCCTAATGTGCTTTTCCTTCCACCATAGCTTCCAGCCTAATCACTGTCTGTAAAACCAATCAGCTTGTTGTCTTCTTGTTTCTTGTACGTAATACCATAATCTTTGTTTCCCTAAGATATCTCAATTTTTTTTTCTGTTAATTCAAAGTGAAGTTTACTTTATATATATAAATCTTGACATTATACTCGTAGAAAAGACTATATCAAGCCTTGTATTTGTAAGATAAACCAGACAACCAACAGGACTATAAAAAATCTTTGAGTCCACCTTCTTAGCACCATCATTCTGTTGCATTTTTTTCCTTTATTGCCATGGGAGTTGCAACTGGTTTACAACTTATCATGTTAATTTTCTTAAGCAGGTTTGCAACATACTTGAGAAATAAAAATCTCCTCCGATGATTGTTTCAGTTGAATACCAAGGACGCATCTTAAATCTGTCATCTCATACTCTTTCATCATTGCCTTCTTAAATTCTACAACCATCTCTGCATCAAGACCTGCACATATCAGATCATCAACCATCATAAAATCTCCTCTTCTTTTCTTCACATAAAATAATGGTTTAAATTGACATATTTCAAAACTATTTTGATGAAAATAAAAATCAATCTTGCTATTTCATGCTCTTGGTGCTTTCTTTAAACTGTAAAGAACCTTATAAAGTCTATAAACTTTGTTTTCTTTTCCTTCTGATGTTTCCATTCTAGCAACAGGTGCAAATATTTATGTGAAATCTACTTCATTCTTGAAAAGGTTTATGGTGTTGTTTAGTTTGTTTTTCTAATATAATATATAATGGATAAATTTAATTATATTGATCCATTTGATTTCTTATGTGAAAATTACATTGTAAGATGGGATAAGATGAGGGTTCGACATGACAAATTTAGTGTTTTCTTTTTTTTGATAATTTAGAAATAATATTATTAAGATCATTAAAAGTTCACTTCTTGTTATACATACTATTATTAGAAGGTTCGACGTGAAAACAAATTTATCTTAACAATATAATTGCAATTGATTACTATTTCCTCGCTAAAAGGTGCAATCCTCATGAGCTAAAGGATTCTACACTCTGGGAATTGGGGATTTGCAACTGTTTAATGGCATACTTTCGTATTGGTACAGAACAGTAAGGAATTCTTAAGAGGAAGCCAACATTTTCCCTTAGATATGGGGGCAGAGAGAAACCTTGTGATGAGATTTTAGGGAATAGAAACCATTTTATTCAGTTCGAATAATACACTTGAAATTAATAACCTTCAATCTAAAGAGTGCACGTAGCTACTACAAAAGCAGTCTCAGAATTTATAATTTGCCAACGAACTCCATAGTCTCTCTCTAGAAAACTTCCACGCTGAAAGGGAATGCAATGGTGTTCCTTTCCACCCAAGAATCAGGCACTTGCCATTCTTTTCAATAGTACATAAACTGCCACAAGGAAATTGCTTTGGAATCAAGCCAGCTTGGTACAAGGATGAATCACCAAATCCTACTTCCACCATTCTAAATCTTGAGAAAAATGCCCTCCATACATCCATCTTCACACTTCTAGCAATCCTGTCTGTGCCCTCCATTGTCACAATATTTTCGATCCCATTAGAGAAGGTTGCTTCAGTTATCGTTCTGTGCTCAGTGTTCTGTTTCAGGCAAGTATCAAGGCAATCGAAATATGCACTATAAAAGAACAGTGCTTCAATGAAACGATTCACAAATGTTGGTGAGTTATGATTCGCTTCAACTTCGCCGACGATCATTATTGAAGGATTAAGATTTTTAATCACTCTCATCAAATTTTCCAAGCAAGCTGGCCTTGAGAGCATGGTCCTGAGTATCATGTTAGCGACAACAACAATGGCTTCATCAGCTGCAGTTTCAAATAGCTCCTCTTTGATTTCAGACATGCACGATACCTGTATTGGCTTGAAAGTGAATGGGAAGTTCATGTACCTAGCAAAGATTTCTAACCTCTTACCTGTCTCCTCTATCTTTTGTATGCCTCTCAAGCCAACGGCAGTTATCTTAAGATGGTCTAGCCGGCGTTGACGATCCGCAAGAGCTTGCATCAAGGCTGTCCATTGAACTCCACTCCTGATTTCGAGGTCAATCAAATGGATCTTTCTTGCTGATCCAACATTTTCAATTATTGCTTGGATCGCTGTGAGTTGCATTACCTGATTAATAGGAACATTCTGATGCAGGCTAAGGTGAGCTAGGTGTGTACTTAACCCGTGAGGAGTTTCACAGTTCGGTTTTCCCTTCATTTCCTTTGGAATGAATCTTCCTGTTGCCTTATGAATCCTCTCTTGAAGAGCTTCTGCAAAGGAGTACACAACTCTCTGAAGTGGATTGGATCTCTCGGATGCAACCATTTCACAACGGCTGAGCAATCTGCTAGCACGATCAAATTGTTGGTCGCCTACCTTCTCTGCCGTGGCTAAAAGAAGGAGAGTGAGTTCTACATCCCTTGTTTCTTCCTCGGATAGGCCTGAGAGTGCATAACCAACAGGGTGCATGAGCATGAAGAAATCATCATATCTTTGGTCTGAGAATTGTATGAAACTAGATCCAGCTACCCTGATGATCTCCTCAGTTGACAGTTTCTTTCGAGTGCTGAAGCAAGTTTCATCGCTAGCACCGCCAAGCTGGTTGCATTCAATTTCTTTCCCACTTCCATACTTGCGTAGGAGTTGTAGAGATGATGACAGAGCTGGTGTGTATAGCGTTTCTTTACTATTTTTGGCAATACTCTCAAGCCTTTTGATTTCCTGCATTGGTTGTGCTGGTGCTGGGAAACAAGAACCAAGGAAATCATCTAATGTCAAATAACTCGATTTGGATGGCGATTGTTGCTGCTGGGGCTGCTGCTGATCTCTAAAGAAATTAAGCCCCTTATTCTCTGTGTTATCTTGATAAGAACAATATTCAGAACATAAAGGATAAACCTGTCCCAAGTCTTCCATTGAAAATAAACGGCCTTTCTCTCCTTCGATCATTAATCCCTCTTTCTCATAACCTTCAATATGACTATACCCACCTTGGACTCCACTGAGTCAAATGAGGCATTTGCCATCTCAGAGTGGAGTTGCTAATTGACAAACTCGCACTCAGGTGAGACCATATGCTTATCTAATCTAATGAAAGCATAAACAATATGGTAATGCTTGGAAACCTGAATTCATTACATATATTAATCATCGTAAAATCCGACTATCTAATGGTAAGGACTGTGATATTGATGATGATATAGTGAAAAAACCAGCACGGCCTGCTTAGTCGTGGTATGTGTAAGCTGGTCTGGACATCCATGTTAATCTAAAAAAAAAGATAGTATATTTTGAGATATCGTTATTGCTAAATCTAATGTAAAGAGCCAAGCGGATGACAATGGTGAATTGTATCAAGGCAGTCGATCCAAATATCCTAAGAAGTTCAGCCGTGCAAGTGTAGACAATAATGGAACGAATTAAACAAAGAAGAGTTGAATTTCGTCATCGGGAAAAATTCAGAATAGAATAATCACAGCTTTATAAGACAAATGAAAGAGTTATCAGTGAAGTACAAAGCTGCAATCAAAAATTAATTTCCGGCCAATATGTCAGGTGGGGCTGGGGGTAACCTTGCCAGCTGCCAGGGTGAAAATAATAAATGGTAATTCATCCATGCATATGCATCTAGACAAATAAATCCAGAAATCCAGGCAGGTAGTATTATTTCAGCGGCTTAGTAGTTAAAAAATAATATAAATTATATTTTAATATTTTATTTAATAATTTATATTTTTAAGTTGAATTAATATATGCAACCATCAATGTCTATGATGCAATTACCTTGTATTAGAGACGTTTGCAGCGTGGAGGATGAATTATATCATTAGTAGAAATATCTCGTGTGGTTTTCTGAACAGTATGAGAATTTCTTGAAAATCTTGGGAGGCCTAATTATAAATTTCAAGTCTAATATGAAAGGATGCCTCAACAATGACTAAAATGAAGTTGATTTTGTAAATCAATTAATCAGTTCCACCAAGTTTTCTATCGGTGTTTATTTTCCGGTATAAAGAACTTATAGTTTTACCACCATCTCGAAGGTGGTATGGGAAATGGATCGTGGCTATTTGCGAAGACTTATAACTCAATTCTTGCATATTTCTCGTTTAAGAAATAAAATAAGATATTATGTTGAGATCCCGGCATCCAAAACAAAATACACCATCTAAGAGAACATCTAAAATAAAAAATAAAATACATAAAAATGTATGTAGTTAATTAAAATTTAGCTACAGCCACGATCAAATATAAAAAAAATTTATTAAGTAATTCTTATTTTTTTATTAATAAGAATAATCATCTAATATTCTTATAAATATCTCACAATGTTTTTTAAAAAATTCCTTTCCTTCACTCTTGTGTTTCTTTCTTGTATGTGATGTATCGAAAGGCATGTGCTGCCTTTTATTTATAGGTTGACATCCTATCCTCTCCTAGAAAAGACAAATGGTGCACCAAAAGTTGTCAATTATTGGGCAACTTTTAGTGCTAACCATTAGGATGAGATGATATTAAATAGAAGGTAGGCTCCACATTTTCCGCTTTAAAACTTTGATTATTAATCATGTTTTTATATTTGATAATATGTGATTCTTCTAACCTTTTTATACTTATCATCTTCATGCTATTTATATTTTTGTTAGGTCATAGGATGATCTATACCATATGTACTTATCACTATAATTAGTTTGGTCAAAGCATTCACTAGGTTTTCCTTAATGTAAATCTTTTCTTCAGGTGTGAATCTTCTCTTGTTTGTGTCCAAGATCCTCTACGAGTCTTCTTAGCCATATTATTTATTTACAAGGTTGGGTAGCTATCATGTACTCGGTTTTTATTGTGGATAAAGCTACAATAGTTTATAATTTAGAGACTCAGCTCACAACTCCTACTACAATGTGAACACAAAGTTTGAAGCAAATTTTCTTTTCTCAAAGTCACTTGTAAAATCTAAATCAATGTAACCTCTAATAATAAATTTTGATTCTCTATAAAATAATATAGTATTTAAGGTACCCTTTGTCATGACCTGATTCCTAAATCCATAATTGACGTATTGACAAGGTTCCCCTTCAAGGTTCCATACCTATGCGAATCTAAACTTACATATAAACTTATCCTTCAAATTACTCAATATGAGTTCAACGTAGCACTAATAAAAAAATTAACTTTATTATATAATTTGATTGTTTTAATACAAGAGTTAATATAAATTCATAGTTATGGAGCACTAACTAGACATAAGAAAAAATGCAATTTACAACCGAAAGTGCAATTTCTGAAAGTCCAATAAAATGACCTACTAACAAGCTAAAAATCTAAAAAGATAAATAATGAGATGATGAGTTTAGTAACTCGGTGAATAGATAACGTTCAATACACATATGAGGTAATACAACAATTATAATATATATAAAATTATGACTCTATATTCTTATAAGAAGGTTTCTTAAATAGGCCATAACAAGAATATTATAAGATAAAGCTCGTCATAAAATCAAAATGCAATGAGTATGAGACTCCGTACTGTAAGATGATTATTCTACATAGGTTGGTGACTTCCCTAACCAACTAGAGTTTAGATACAATATGCACAAAGACTAACATTACCTTATTAGCATAGATATTTTAACTGGCATATCATAGATTCATAATCATAATCAAATAAACATATTTATATCTTAAGGCTCAACTCATGACATCAATCAAATGAGGAGCTATCAATTTAGAAGTCAATTCGAAATATATATTAGTTCATATTAAGAATTCAAATTAAACAATTGATCATGCTTTATCGTAACAAGAATAATAATTAACATATATATATATATATATATATATATATATATATATATATCAAGAAGCATGATTCAATTCATGTTAACAACTCAAATATTTATAATATTATATATATAAAAAATTATCCACTCTCCTAACTCAAAAGCAAATAGTACTCAAAAACAGATATTGAGGGAAATCTTACTAATGTCCCGCTGGTAGAATATCAGGATTATCTGAATACAAAGAAGACATATTCAAAAATGACACTAAAGAATATAAAATCTATTTAATACACTTAACTAAGGATATATTCTATAACCCTATATGTTTTTAAACTAAACTAGTAATTTTTTCTAAAAACCAAAAATTAAACGGTTTTTTCAAAATCTAATCCATAATAAAACAAATAATAAGACTTGATAATAATTCACTAAATAACCCTAATTTATTCACCAACTAATCTAAAAAATTTAATATTACAACTAGGGACCAATCTGGAATTTTTCATATTTTTAAGGGTCAAATTGTAACTTTGTTAAATTGGAGGATCTAACTAAAAATATCATAAATTCATGACTATAGTAGATTTATATCCATAATTCATCCTCAGTTATGTCTAGAATCTCTAATTATGCTCTAGGGATTTATATCCATAATTCATCCTCATTTATGTCTAGAATATCTAATTATGCTCTAGGGACCGTTCTGGGATTTTTCAAAAATTTTAGGATCAAATTGTAATTTTTGTCAAATAGGAGGACCAAATTGAAAGTGTTAAAATTTCAGGGATTTTTCAAAAATTTTAGGGTCAAATTATAATTTTTGTCAAATAGGAGGACCAAATTGAAAGTGTTAAAATTTCACAACTATAATTGAATTCTGCCCATAATCCATCTTTTATTCTGTTCAGAATCTTGGAATATGCTTAAGGGACCAATCTATAATTTTTCAAAATTTAGGGACTAAATTGTAATTTTTATAAATTGAGGGACCAAACTGACTTTTCATCATCTTTAACCTCAAACCTAGAATTTCCACAGATTACCTACTGTTATTTGCTTATATCTAACATTAATTCACCATTCAAACAAAATCATAACTCAAAATCATCATCTTTATTTACAATCTTCCATAATCAACTAAATAAATAATTACCCATAATAATTAACCCATAACATTCAAATCAATTTATCAATAAACCTAAAACACAATCTTCAAAACCCTATCATTTATCAAAATAGAAATTTAAAGCCTAAAGAACATATATTTGTATATAATTTTATATTTAAACTTATTTTCTCCAACTCTCTTTTCCTTCCATTATCTTTACCTCTTTTCTCTTCTTCTTCTTCCCCTTTTCTTCTATTCTCCCATTATTTTTTCACTCTAATTTTAGTTCTATCTATTTTTTTCTATTTATACTTATTATATTTATTTAATTACCACACTACCTCTTATTCATTTATACCCACTCTTTAAGCCTCCAAAGGCTTTGTTGCCTTTTCCTACTCATTTTATTTCAAAACATCACACCCTTAATGTATCTTAAGATCCACTCAATACTATTCAAATGCTCTCTACCATGATTTTTCATGTATCAACTAACTGTTCCACTACTTATGAAATGTCTGGTCTTGTATATATCATGACAAACATTAAACTTCTCACTACTAATGCATACAGTGTTCAAGACATCTCTATCCTCTCTGCTTCATTACTAAAATACATACTTGATGATACTTTGAAGTTAATAGGATATGAGATTGAAATTGGCTTACAATCTTACATGTTGAAGTATAAGAAGATTTTTTTTAAATAATTTTTTTTGTGAAAGCTAAATCTCCCTTTTACTTTTGTCTCTATAAGTTTGCATCCCTAAAATCTTGTTTGTTAGTTCTAAACCCTTCATATCAAACTCTCTAGCCAATAGTACATTTAATTCTTAGACTTATTCTTTATTGAGGCCTACTACTAACATGTCATCTATGTACAATAAAAAAGTAATTAAAAC